GACTCACTGTAAAGGCCTGTGGAAAGCAGGCTGCCCCTGGGGCGGTCAGACAGGACTTCACTGTTTGGACAGGGACAGGGTGAGAAAGAGGGGAGGAGGACGATTTAATTTTCACCAAATGCGCAGCCTGTAGGATGGGTGTTCTGAGCCCCAGGGAATAAGCCAGGCTCAAAAGCCATAGTCTGGGACAGCTTCAGCCAGTGCCTCCAGTAACCACTGGGACTAGGGCTGGGGCTCACAGTGGCATAACTGAGTGGGACCCCAGTGGGTCTCACTGAATAAAGCCAAGAATGCAGAGCGCTGCCCCAGGGGAGTCCAACCACCACTGTCACTGGGTGCTGTCCACCTTCAGGAGCCCGTGAAAGCCAAGAAGACGCCTGGCCCCGGCCCCCACCTCTGCCTGTGTGCACCCCGACACGGCGCCTGCATGGCCGGCCCAGCCTGGACCCACTGCAGGGCCTTTGTGCCTGCTGTGCCCTGGGCCTGGTCCCTCATCTCAGTTCTTTGCCCCCTTGCCCCCTCCTCCGAGGCCTCCCCCAGCCACCCGCTCACCTTGCCCCCATGACCTCCCCACTTCTCCTCGCTCATGTTCTCGGTGGCACAGGCCCCCCTGCCTGGTGTGGTCTCATTCGGTCTTCTGTCTGTTGTTCGGCTCACCACGCCCATACAGGGAAGACAGGCAGGGGCCTGGTCCGCCCTGTGCATGGCTCTGCTTGACACAGACTCCATGTTCTTAATTATACACTGAACAAATGGGACTTCAGAGATAGGCACCCCCTCCCCGGCTTCACTGCCTCCAGAACCAGAACTCACAGGCCTTGTCTCCCATTTGTGGTTCAACCCCAGAATTTGTTTCAAACATTTACCGGCACTTATTTTATAAAGGCAGACACTGCATAAGAAATGGGGACTCATCGTCAAGTGCTCCCTGGCTCCCAAGCTGTGTCAGGCGCACGGGTGATGACAGGCTGAAACTTTATTTTAGGCCATTGCACATAGAGAGCTCTCCCTGCGTTCCACGTGCTGTTCTCTGGGCTGCACGGATCCGGCACTTCACCATCACCAATGTGGAGAGGCGGATGCCAACGGTGCTTCTATCTCCACCCCACAAATGAAAAGCAAGGCACGGAGACGTTCAGTTACTCCCCCAGACTCACGCAGCTGGAGAGCTGCAGACCTGAGATTTGAACCACTCAGGCAGCAGGGTCAAACCTCTACCGCGGTGCAGTCCCCGCCACAGGACGGTGCAGGGAGGGAGGGGCCGGGCTGAGCAAGCCCAGAAGAATCAGAAAGGGGAGGCGGAGGCTGTGTGAGTTTCTGGAAGAAGTTAGTAACAGACTGGAGGCCCTTTCAGGTTCCAGCTTGAGCAAATGAAAATAACAATACCCACAGATTGCATGGAACATGCTTACACTAAAAATGAAAAAAAAAAAAAATCACTTTATCTGAAGTTCAAGTTTAACTGGCAAACCTGTATTTCATCTGGCAACCTCTAATTTGAAAAAATTCTTCGAATATCTTTTCAGTTATTAGCTTATTAAACAATCTTACATTTTGTTAAGTTGGTTGGTGCAAAAGTAATTGCGGTTTTTGCCATGACTTTGAATGTAGATTGAAAGTACAATTGAAGGCACTAGATGTAGTTTCGGAGAACTGTGATGTTTACAGTAGACCGTATAAGGGAACACAGCTTGGAGATTCACAGGCACGCTCTTCATGCCTAGGGAGACTCCCCATTTCCACGCTATTCCTTCCAGCCAGGTTCTAAAAGAGGGCTGAGGATTCATCAGATGCCTGTGACAAGCTTTGCAATCCTCCATGAACCTGCACAGGAATAGTTATAGCGGGTTTATGTGTATTTGCTAAAACATAGGGGCAACTGAGGGGTCCTGCAGTGGATGAATGGATAAATAAACCGTGGGACACCGAAACGATGGAGATTATTCAGCACTAAAAAGAGAGGACTGTCCGGCCATGGAAAGACATGGAGGAACCTTAAATGCATATTACTAAGTGGAAAAAGCCTGTTTGAAAAGGCTACACAGTGTATGATTCCAATTATATGACTTTCGGGAAAAGAAAAAGCTATGGAGAAAGAAAAAAGACCAGTAACTGCCAGGGGTTAGCAGGGAGGGAGGGAGGGAGGGAGGGAGGGAAGAAGAGGCAGAGCACACAGGATCTGTAGGGCAGTAAAAATATTCTGCATGATACTCCAGGGATGGGCACATGCCATTATGCATTTGTCAAAACCCCAGAACATACATAAAGCCTGAGCTCTAATGTAAACTATGGCTGTTGGATGGCAACAATGTATCAGTGTAAGTTCATTGATTGTAACAAATGTACCATTCCACTGCAGGATGTTGATAGTGGGGGAGGCTGTGTATAAATGCAGTGGCAGGGGTGGTATATGGAAACTCTCTGTACTTTCTGCTCAATTTTGCTGTGAAGTAAAACTTTTCTTTTTTTCTTTTTTTTGAAACAGAGTCTCGCTCTGTCACTCAGGCTGGAGTGTAGTGGCGCAATCTTGGCTCACTGCAACCTCTGCCTCTTGGGTTCAAGTGATTCTCCTGCCTCAGCCTCTCGAGTAGCTGGGATTACAGGCGCGAGCCACCACCCCCAGCTAATTTTTTGAATTTTTAGTAGAGATGGGATTTCACCATGTTGTCCATGCTGGTCACGAACTCCTGACCTCAAGTGATCTGCCCACCTCGGCCTCCCAAAGTGCTGCGATTACAGGTGTGAGCCACCACTCCCGGCCGAACCAAAACTTTTCTAAATGATAAAATCTACCGAAAAAAAAAAAAAAATCCTGAAGTGCCCAAATGCAAATTTACATATGTGACTGAGTTTTAAGTATTTAAGTTAAAGTTCAATTGCGCCTTCTTTTTTAAAAAAATTTATTTTAAGTTACAGGATACATGCGCAGGATGTGCAGGTTTGTTACATAGGTAAATGCGTGCCATGGTGGTTTGCTGCTCCTGTCAACCCATCACCTAGGTATTAAGCCACACATGCATTAGCTATTTGTCCTGAGAGCATCTTCCTTGCATAAAAGAGCCCGTTGATTTTTTCTAAGGGGTCTTTTATTACTATTTATTGTTTTTATTTATTATTACGTTTTTCAGAGAGGAGTTCTCGCTGTGTCACCCAAGTGGAGTACAGTGGTGCCATCATAGCTAACTGCAGCCTCAAACTCCTGGGCTCAAGTGACCTTCTGCCTCACCCCCTCAAGGAGCTGGGTGTAAATGCTTTTTGAGGCACTTCTAACTTGAAAACATGGTACGGAGGAACTGAAGAGAATGTCCTTCCTAGCACCGCCTGCTTTCTAAAATTGCCACTGGCAGAATGTCCCTGGCGTCTTGTTTCCCTCTGGGGGCCGTGCCAGGCTGTCCATCTGGGGAACGGAATCCTGCACACACTTCCACCGCTGGGACCAAGGCTACTTGCATTAAAACACTCTCTGCAGATCCGTGCTTCCATGAAAGGGGGAAAGGACATCCAACCTCTTTGAGAGATTTTATCACCTCCAAAATGATGTTTGCACTCCTTTTGCCAGCCTGGTGAAAGACAGACCCACCCACAAGCAGAACTAAGGGTCCTCGGTGTCTCTATATATTAATGTTGCGGACACCACACAGAAAGAGAGAGACAGAGTGATGATGGGACCCACAGGAGTTGCAAATAAGCACGTTGTCAGGGCTACATCACTGCTCTGTTCCTTCCCAGCTGGGAGACTCAGGCCAAGCTTCTTGAACATGTCTGAGCTTCTGTTGCCTCCTCCGTAGAAGGCGGGTCACATTTGCCTCTGACGGTTTGTTGTGAAACATATTTAGCTATGACTTTTAAGGCGCTAAGCTCAATGCCTGGCATATCGTAGCACTGCTAATTACCATCATTAATTATGTCCTAAGGAGGTCAAACGGCACAGTACCAGTTACCAGCAGACGTGAGTAAGTCGCTTGAACACGGAACACCATTTTCTGTATTGGTCAAGTGGGCAGGCATTCAGACGCTTTTGTCTGTCTCACAAGCGTGTTGTGAGGGTCTCATAAAGTTTTGGGCATGTAATTTCGAAAGGTGGCAGCCACGTTTTGAGTGCTTGTGATGTGCCAGGCACGTGGCTACGGGGATGCCTTCATTCGCTCAGGGAGCGGTTCCTAGTGGCTGGTCCCTGACGTGTGTGTGTGCTGGGTGGGGCTGGGGGATGTCTTCTTCCTAAGAAGTGAATGCACCGCCAGGCTGAACGCCCTCGTTTTCTTCCCTTTGGACTGGGGCCTGGGAGGGCATGGACGTGATGCTCTGTGCAGCCTGGTCTCCTCGACCCTTAGGGTCTTCCCGACCCTTAGGTTGGCAAACACGAAAGACATAGACGAGCAGACGCAAGCTGCCACGTTCGTTCTTTCTCAGGGTATGCAGAGGTCAGGGTAAGAATCCCTGACCTCTCGGGCGTTTCTCAAAGGATGGCCTCTGGCCGTCCGCAGCGCAGTCGCTGGGGCTGGGCTGGCTTCGAATCTCCATCTGCCTGACCCTTTAAAGAGCTGCCGGCTGAGTCCAAGTGTGAGCACACGAGGGTGTGCAGGGTCTCAAAGGAGGGAACCGCGTCCTGCAGGAGGAGCAATCAAGGCCGGCTTTCCGGAGGAGGCGGCCTCTAGGACTGGAAGAGGAGGTGGGATGTGTTTCAACCGGCAATGGGCCCCGAGAGGCCAGGGACTTGTTCTTTCAGTAACTCCAAGGCTTGGCAAAACGCCTGTCACGGGCGGCGCTCGACAATGACCAGCTAACAGCATGAACGACATGCCCGGGAGCGTCCCTGACGGTCCCCAGCACAGGGTTTACCCGCCCGCGCATGCGCGCCCGGGCCACGCCTGCTCAGCCTCCGCCCCTCCCGCCGTCGCGCAGGCGCGAAGCGGGTGACGTCACTACGCGCCAGACTCGGCGCCGGGAGATGTCGCGCGGTGACTGCGTTGCCATGGAGCCAAGGGCGGGTGAGGGGCGCGGCGCGGCGCCCGGGCGGCTGGGAATGGGGAGGGACGGCCGGGACCGGTGAGGGTCGAGGCGGGGCCACGGGGGCTGGCAGAGGATGGCGCAGAATCACCGGAGGCGGGCGAGGGGATCGGAGAGGGTCTGTGCTGGGTTCGGGTCCAACCAAATAAAGATAACGGGAAGACAAGGCGGGAGGGACACCTGCCGTTCACGTCGGGGAGCCTGTGGGCCCCGTGAGGTCGGGGAAACTGAGGTTCAGGGGCAGGATCGGAAGCCGGTTTGACTTACACGCGGGGGTCGCTTAACTGCTGTGGTCTTAACAGATGGTTGTGGAAGCCTTGTCCGCGCGGCCCTCTCTGGGCACTGGCGAGGCTTCCTCCGGTAGAGCCCCTGGCCTGTAGGAAGTCACTCGCTAGTGGGGGAAGGGGTGGATGATTGCTCGCAGGATTGCCTGGCAGATACCCATACTACTAGTACAAAAGGTGTGCCAGGGTCTGTTAAATGCCGGAACCCCAACTGTGAACAGGTCCACTCCCACCCATACTACGTGTGCAGGATGCACACAATACATAGACGGAGGGTGATCATATGCCGTCATGGTTAGAGTGACCTTTTGGGATGCCTGTCCTGTGCCAGGACTGAGCTGGGACTGGAGACTTAAGGGTGAATGAGACCCACGCTGACCCAGCAGGGCCCACAGCCTGCTGGGGGAGCAAACAGACAATTACAGAATAGGGTTCAGGCATTTCACACATTACTATGTGTCACCTTTTATTATTTTAATTATTTCTCATGTTTTTGTAACTTTCCAAAGGAAAGGCCCTGCCCTTTTCTTTTGCAATGACCCCTCCCCTTACCAGTTAGCCCATTGCTTTATTAGGGGGAATCACTGTTATGGGATTAATTGACTCCAGAGCAGGGGCCACAGTGTTACATTTCTTGTGTCCCACAGGGTACCCTGCGCAGGGCTGGGGATATTCCAGGCCCTCTGGGCTGTTAGTGAAAGTGAGGCATGCGGTAACCTTGTAGTAATTGTTCCAGTTTGGGGAAAAAAAAACCCAAATGGTATGGGTACTCCTTAGATTTCTAAAGGAGGGTCATCTGCCTGAGACAGCACTCAAAGAGTGTTTCCTGGGGGAGGTCGAATCTAAGCTAGACCTGAGGGAGAGCAGAGGAGGTACAGGCCTGAAAGGGAGAGGGAGGTAGGCAGGTATGTTGGGGCCAGGGAAGAACAGTCCTTGAGCCACTTTTTGGATTCAGAGTGAGGAATGACAGGAGATGAGGCCAACATGGTCATCTAATTATTAAGCCCACACTAATAAAGGGGATTGCAGTCAGTTATCCAAAATAATAGCTGTCTTAGAGATCACTTAGTTTAAAGGCAAGCTTACCTGACTTACGGCAAGAATAAGGGAATCATAGTTATGTCAAGACTGAACAGACTGAGAGGACAGTTTCTCTACATCAGCAGAACCTGAGTCCCCAAGCAGGGACTCTAGGAGGGCTTGGTTAGAAGGTTTGAGTTGTATTTGGCTCCCCTACTGCTTCAAGGTTAGTATAACTGGATTAAATATTAGAGCTATGTTTAATTTACTGTGAACTTTAATAATTGTTCGTGAGTATGTGGTGACACATGCCTGTAATCCCAGCTACTCAGGAGGCTGAGGCAGGAGAATCGCTTGAACCCGGGAGGCAGAGGTGGAGGTTGCGGTAAGCCGAAATCACACCGTTGCACTCCAGCCTGGGCAACGAGAGCGAAACTCCATCTCAAAAAAAAAAACAAAAAAAACAAAAAAAAAACTTACTACATTTTTCAATGTAGAGACCAAAAACCCTCTCAATCTGGTCTGGCATAGTCATGAACTCCTATGTGGGGAGCTGAGCGTGTAACTGGAGCAGGCTTTCAGCATGGGCTGTGGAATTCCTTTGTTTGTTATTAAGTGGGACTCTTCTGTTGCAGTAGGTGTCTCCAAACAGGACATTCGTGAGCAAATTTGGGACCACATGGAATCACAAAATTTAGCTGACTTTCCCCGACCTGTTCATCACAGGATTCCCAACTTTAAGGTACTGACACATTTCTGGAGTCTGGAAAAGGAAAACAAGATATTCCGAAATGACTAACACTCGTAATAAAATTCTCGTACTGCATCATGGTGGATTAGAATGTGGTGAGCAGTGAGCAGTGGTGTGAAATCAAAACCATTTGGCCAGGGCGTCCTTAGCGTTTGGAGACATTGTTTACCCTTCACCTGGGGCCTCTTGCCTCTCTGTGCAGGGCGGCTTGGTTGTCTCTAGGTGAAGTGGTGCTACTTGCTATTTTCTATATGATACAAAGTAAAATATTTATCCTGGCCAGAAGCATGTTATTGTTGTGATGGCTTTTCACAAAATTGACCCTGCTAAGAGCGTTAGGGAGTGAAGGGTACTGAACTGGAAGTCCAGGCTCTAGCACCTTTGGAAAGAAATGAATGCCTTGCCAGCCTAATGATGCTGGGCCTCAGTTTCCCAGCTAATCAAAATGTAAGACAATCAAAGATGGCTGTTCCTAACAGGGTTGACAGAAAAAAAAAGGTTAGTTGAAAGAGGCAGTGCAACAGTTCATAGTCTTTGGCATGCCTGTTTTCCAAGAGAAAAAGACAGCGCTTGTCAAAAATGCTCTCTCTGGCCTGAAGGACTTAGCTGTTTGCTTGCTTCACCCCATTTTGTCGGGACTGTCTCTCCCCAAGCCTGGCTTCTCCACAACAAGCTCCACCTTCTCTGGTCCTCAGCTGAGGTGGTTCCAAGACTGTCCTGTCCCTTTGAAAAACTGCTCTTTTGATGATTTTCTGTTGTTACTGTGTTTTGTTTTAATACTTCTGACCCCAGAGAGAGAAAGGTGTCTTGGCAGAGGAAAAGATGAAGGATGTAGAGAATCATGTAGAAATCTTTAAAAATGAATGAAACAGGAGAGAGGTGGGGCTTCCAGGTCATGCTGTTGCTTGATTTTGGTGGTGGTTACACAGCAGTCTTCATTTTGTGAAAAATCATCACATTTTGCACTCGTGATTCGTATTCTTTTTGGAGTGCGTGTTTTATTTCAGTTAAAACTCAAGTGGGATTAGGCTCCTTTTCTCAAATCCCTTTCCTTACTTAGACTACTTCCTTAGATGTTTCTTTGAGTGACTGTTAATGCCTGTCTGGGTGAGATTCTGGGCCAAGCTGCTTGGGCTGCAGTTGGCCTGAGAGCGTGCTGTCATTTCAGTAACGTGCGATTGCATTGGAAACAGGGCGCTTCTCATGCTGCTGAGCAACTCCCACGCTTGCAGGCGTTCAAAACAGCCAGGACCATTAAAGTAAATCCTGACGCCCCCCAGAAAAATGCTCGCTTCTTCGTCCTTGAAGTAAGTGCACCTCTGTCTATTTGCCTAACTAGGGGTCTTATCTGGCCTGCCAAAACATCAAAGACCTAGACGTTTTTGCCAGAACACAGGAAGTTAAAGTGGACCCTGATAAACCACTGGAAGGCGTTCGGCTGCTGGCGCTGCAGGTAATTCCGCTTCCCTGAGCCGAGCCGAGACCTGGCCGCCAAGGGGGACACCTTTTCCAGGTCGCTGGTCAGCGCACACGTCTGTCTTGTATTTAGAAAGTCGGTGCTTCTGATTCCCTCCAGTATAGAAAGTGTCCTTGGTGGTGATTTTTCCAAGAATAGTTCAGAAGCCCTTTAGCTGTTTAGCATTCAGTCAGTCGGGAGTCCCAAGTGTGTCTAAATTCAGAGATAAAGGATGTTCAAAACAATGGCTTCCGCACAAGAGAGGGAACGCAGGCAGAACCTGTGATGGTCCAGAATTGAGGAGCCGGCGCTGAAACGGTGACACCACTTTGCCATTTGAAATGAGCACGCTGACAAGCTGGCTGAACACAGAATCATTTGCCTCTGGATGACAGACGTCACTTGTCATGTTCTGAGACTATGAAGACCAGGGATAAGAACTGGAGAAGTTTCTTCTCAACACTGTTGAACTTTTTAAATTCAGGCATGCTCTTATAATTTTTATTTTTTTTCTTCCTATCCAACCAAACACAGAAACTATGGCGTGGAAACATTCTCAGTTTTGATGTGCTTCATCAGAGGAGGGAGATTACAACATATTTAGTTCTTTTTGCCATAGGTGTAGTGTTACAATTCTTTGAAACATGATCCATCACTAGTAAGAAGCCTGATGTGCCCTCAAAATGTATCCATTAGAGCACTGTTTCTCGACGGAAAACATAGAGGCCCCTTTTCAAGGAAAAAAAGAAAACTCCCCCAGGGTTGGTTTAAATTAGTTTATTATAATCTAATTCAATATGATAAACATAAAACTTGATATAAATTTTAACGCAGATAGCTTTTATACAACTATAAAACAAAATAAGCATATAAGTTAAATACAAACAAAACTATAAAATCAGTAACATTCAAATCACCCCATTAATGTAATGTAATGGTTAGTGTGGTTTTGCTGAAGCAAATCACAGCTGATAACATGAGTATAGTACTGGCCATCTCACGGCAGCATCGTCGACATTCTGCCTTACGCTGCCACGCGTTGTGTGCTGACACCATTCTCCCACCCAAGTGGTCAAGTCAAATTCCTGAGAAGCCCTGGCAAGAGGAGCGCTTTCCACACTGCGTGGCAAAGAAAGGGGAATGGCAGAGTGTATTCTTGCTGGAGCTGAGAGAAGGGGCCTGCCCTGGGTCCAGGCTCGTGTGGGACATCGTTTTGTCTGCTGATGGCGGTTCAGTCCCAAGAGAGACTTCTATGTAGGCTCTTCCGGAAGCGTAGCTTCCTGTCAGCCTTATTTTCTCAGTTAATGAATCATTTGAATAAGCTAGAAGTAGGAATAGCAGCAGTAGCAAGGAAGGACAGTAGTCAGCAGTCGCTGCATTCGAGGCACAGTTCTGTCTAAATGTTTTCCCTGTGTTATGTGGTTTAGCTCTCCAGTAGTCCTGTGGGAGCCATCTCTTCTCCTCTGTGACACTTGAAACCATATGCAGAGAGGCTCCACCTCAGGTTACCACACGTCAGTCTCGGTACAGCCAGGATTCTGACCCAGCCACCTGACTCCAGAGCCAGTCCTTGCAGGTGTGAAGTTCAGGGTGTTCTCAGCTGTCAGCCCCTCAGAGCAAAAATCAGAAACCTTGACCGTGTGGAGGTCAGTCTTAGCCAAGACGGCCTGAAAGAGGGATGCAGACCTGCGCAAATCCCTGTTGCTTCATGCCATCGTTTATTCAGGCTGGAGAAACAACTGCATAAACAACTGACCTATCTCCCAGGCTGCCTGCTGGGCATAGGATGTAGTGGTGAAAGACACCAACACACATGTGGTCCCTGAGTTCTGGTGCTTACAGGGTCCTCAGTGGTTTTTGGAAACTTTAGGGACTTAAGGATCAGCTGGGATGCAGGTAAAAATCCAGGTTCCTGAGCCCCAGCTGTGTGTGGGCAGGCAATGGTGACATGCACAGCCTCAGGCCACACCTAGAGGCACAGCGGCCAGTATCTGACCGCACAGTCCCCAGTGTGGGAGGCATGCACAGCTTCCCAGGCTCAACCCCAGACCTGTGAGTCTCTAGAGTGGCATCAGACTCTGCTTCATCAATACTCTGGGGGTGCTCCAAGCACGCAGGCTTCAGGACCACTGGCTTAGGTGCCACTTGCCAGCTCTAGCCACATGGTGGTGTCACTCAAGGAGGTTTGAAGACTGTCTGTTGGCCATGCCAGGTTCCAATTGGTCTCTGGAGTGAGATCTAGACCTCGGTAATTCTTAAAGCTTGCTGGTGATTCTAATGCACACTAAAGGCTGAGATCCACTGAGCCAGAGGATGAGCAGCTTCTAGAAAAGAGAGAGTGATCCCCATAATGTGGTGCACAGGACTCCAACACTGCCAATGAGGGGAGCCACACTCCACCACTCACAGAAAAGCAGCACGTGGCAGTTAGAGTGCTGTGTTGAAGTCCTTTGCTCTCGTGGTTGACAAGCCTTTGTTGAAATAGGCCAAACAGATGTTATGGGTCTTTTATTGGTCTTGCGATGTCATCTCCTGCTCAAAAACTAAAATATACGATTATTTACATGAAAGATTTCACAGATCTTGTGATTGCCTTGTGGCTTACCCTTGCATAATCTATGAGACATCTCAGCCAGCGGTTTTCAAACTTCCGTGTGTATGAGAGTCACTGGAAGGCTCATCAGAGCTCCCCCAGAGGGGCTGATTCATTTCGAACAGGTGCCAGAAGCACTGATGCGCTGGCCCAGGGCCCTCCCTTTGAGAAGCCCTGTTGTAGAGGTTCGCACAATAGGCATTTGAGAACTAAGTAGAAGTAAAGGGCTATTGGCATGTGTCGGTGTATTGATTATCATGACTACTGGTCTCTTTGACTGTGATTTGCTGAACAGCCAAACTGCATAGAAATGTTTGAGTAAGGTAGCTACGCCTTGCCAGTTTCCAATGACAACATTATTGTAACTCTGTTGCACTTGGTGCTGAGCGCAGAGAGGGCGCAGGAAACTTGAGGTTGGGATTTTGTCAGAACCAGCCTTAGTTTGGATTTCTTTTTTTTTTTTTTTTTTTTTTTTTTTGAGACGGAGTCTCACTCTGTTGCCCAGGCTGGAGTGCAGTGGCCGGATCTCAGCTCACTGCAGCTCCGCCTCCCGGGTCTACGCCATTCTCCTGCCTCAGCCTCCCGAGTAGTTGGGACTACAGGCGCCCGCCACCTCGCCCGGCTAGTTTTTTGTATTTTTTAGTAGAGACGGTGTTTCACCGTGTTAGCCAGGCTGGTCTCGATCTCCCGACCTCGTGATCCCCCCGTCTCGGCCTCCCAAAGTGCTGGGATTACAGGCTTGAGCCACCGCGCCCGGCAGTTTGGATTTCTGTTGTCAATTTTTACCTGTAACGATTTTGAATGGCAAGTGAAGTCAAATTAGCAAGTTTAGTAAACACTGTGGCTCTTCAGGGTAAGGACGTGCCGAGTGGTGATTCTAAGAAAAATCGACCCCACATATTATTTAATTAGGTTTTCAAATAAGTAATTTCCTTGGCACACACCAAAAAAAGAATGCAGATAATAGTAATTTGCCTCTCCTCCTGAAATGGTAAAAGCACATATAAGAAAGTCCTATGGAATAATTTAATTTTGTAATTTATTGATTGTCTTTTCTTTAAAAGAGCAATAAAACATTGTTGGTTCCAACACCACGACTGAGAACGGGGTTGTTTAATAAGATCACACCACCCCCTGGGGCAACTAAAGACATCTTGAGAAAATGTGCCACCTCTCAGGTAAGCGCCAGAAGCACCGTCCCCACCTAGGAAAGAACTGTACCCTGTGAAGGCTTCTCACAAGTTAGCATAAGATAGCATCACGCAGTTGGAATTCATTTTTAACAGGGCCAAAAGAACAGAGATATTAAAGTATTCAAGAATTCTGTCATTAACAGAGCCAAGTAGGAAGACTGAGTAAACAGATTCTATTTCTGTAACTCAATTTCTATTTTGCACCAAATTGGCAAATTATAAATTCCTTATTGTAAGAAAAGGGAAGACGAGTGATCTGGTTCTCGGCGCTGCCCAGTGTTAACCTGCGATGTTTAGTATTGTGGAGCTTTTTCTTATCCCCAGCCTGTTCGTCAGATGCCGCCAGAGCGACTGGGGAGATGGGATAGAATTTCCAAAACGTGCTCCACTGGAAATTGCCTCACCAGTTCTGAATGAGTAATTGCTGACAATTATAAATTTAAGATTTTCTTGAATGCCTCGCAATTTGGTAAAACCAAGTGTACAAGTATGACTTTAGGGTGCATTATAATACAATTGGTCATGTATTTTACAGTTAAGGAAGTCGAATTTGGTGGCTTTTTTAAGAATCCTAAAGTAAACTCCAAGTCATTTAATTTCTAATCTACTGAGAATAAAAAATAAGGCAATTCAAGATACCCTTTTTTATGGGATTCGCCACTTAAGCCTAATGTATAAAACTGGAATGTTTTATTGTTTACTTATTAGCACCCTGCTTATTCCAAAAATAGAATTTGGTATGATTTATAAAAATACATACGATAAAGTAAAAATATATATATATAGAGAGAGAGAAAGGAGCAAAGGAAAAATAAAGGTAGAAAAATGGGATAAAACCATGGTGATGGTCAGCATTCACAAATGCAAGCCGTCTGCTCCTCTGCAGTCGGTCAGTGCCTGCCCCCTATGGCTCCTGTGAGATGATGAGAACACAGGGTTGCCTGCAGTGGAGGGTTTCCTGGACTAGGCCCCTGTGTGACTGTCGGGAAACCCCAAGCCACCCGTATGCACTGATCCTTACGGAACTTGTCATAGCTCTGCACTGACAGACAGAGCCCACTGCCACATTGAATGATCAGTTACTGCTGGATACAGGACTGAAAATGGCTTTTTCCTGAGATTTACATAAACCATGTTATGAGAATCATGAATGTATTCAACTTCCCTATTCTTTACATGCAGAACTACATTAATATAAAGCGATACACTTTTGGAACATTTTGGGTGAAGGGATAATTTTTTAGAAGTGAGTATATCGTACATAAAAATAGTGCCCTTCAGGATTTTATATCGAATAAATATGTCATACAGTGTTTACTGACCATGTCTTATGTGCTAAATGCATATGTTTTGTTATTTAATTCCAACACTGGTCTGACAAGGCAGAGGGTGGTGTCACTGTCTTACAGGGGAAGAAACTGAGGCTCAGAGAGCTCCAGCCTGCTGGGGTCCTGTGGCTCAGAGGCCCTGAACCCAGTGCCCTGGGACTCTGCCCCTGTGTTCTCACCACTGTGCTTTTCTGCCTCATGGGGAGAAACGATTTGTTAAATGTTATGAAATTGGCAGCCTATGAATTTGTGCTGTGAGTTCCCCTTGGCCACCTTTCTGGGAAAGAGACGGGAACTGCCCTAAAGCGGTTTCTGGAATGCGGCTTCTCCTGAAACGCCACATGCGCGGTGCTGTGTGTGCCTGCATCGGTTTTGTCCGAGAGGTTGGTTCAAACCCTGAGCGCACTTTGATCATGAATTACAAAATGAGGAAGCAGCTGGCGTTGAAGTTTTCCAATCCATGTCTCGGTGTGCAGGGTGTGAGGAACTACAGTGTCCCCATTGGCTTGGATTCCAGGGTCCTTGTGGATTTAGTTGTGGTGGGATCCGTCGCCGTTTCTGAAAAAGGTAAGACTAGCAAATGGGAACTCTTGAGTGTGACAGCTCTGCCTGAAGGCGGCTGCGTGCCAGGCTGTCAGTGCCAGGCTGTTTGTCTTTCAAAAGTCGCCGGTGATTTCTGCTTTCTGGATGCGCTTACCTGGTCTCCGAAGCCACTGCATTTTTCAGTGGTGAATTGGCTCAGCGCCCCCACTCCTGGCCCCAGCCCCACACATGTACAGCATTTTCACTTTTCTTAGCGGGGAAAACAAAGTGAGATAGCTCTCTCTTCAGGTGGTGAAATGTTTTCTGTCTGTTCTTAAGTGAGCTGGAGCTGAATTTCTTTTCAGTGTGTCAGTAAATACTTGGTTTTGGAGGGACTCCAGCAAGCGGAAAAACAGTACCTTCCAAGCTTTGTTTTTATGATGAAGCAGCAGACTCCTGAACAACGTGGTGTGTCGCTGAGACTTCTGAGGCCTGGTGCTTTGCCGTGCTGCGTGCGAGGCAGGCTGCTCTCGGTCCCCAAGGCCAGGGGGCCCTTGCCAAGAGGGCAGGGTCACCGCACCACTCCTCGCTATCTCCAGCTTCAGGACACCCTCTTTTCCCAGCCACCACTGGAGCTGATGTGGGGACATTATTCTTTGCTTTCATTGCATTCCCGTTTCCGGTGCTTTGTCTGTGTCATCAAGGCTGGGGACTCAGGAACACACTGCTCTGGTGTACCTGCTGCACCTGCTGTGTGCCAGGCAGGCACTGGGTGGTCTACCTTAGTACACGGTGTGTGGGTGGGGCAGACACGAGGGCTGGACCAGGACAGGACTTGACATGATCAGTGCTTGACACAAGTCAGGACTGACGGGAGTGGGAGGGGGAGTCTGAGGAGGGACCTGCCGGCCTGGAGGGGGCATCTCCTCAGTAGTGGTCTCAGGGCTGGCTCCTGCATGCTGGCCACTGTCCAGGCAGAGAGGGCTGAAGGGTCCTCAGGCAGCAGGCCTTTACTAGGTTGCGGCCCCTTCTCAGAAGCCTTGAGGCCAGATGATGGGACTTGGGCTCTAGGTGGTGGGAAATCAGCAAAGGTCCCGGACCTCTTGAAAAAGATCATGAGGTTCAGGGATGTATAAGAAGAAAGCAATGCTTTGTAAGTTTCATTGTTCACCGGACCCCCTGTGTAAAGTAGTGAAGTAGTCATGTGTCTGCTTCGAAAATTGAACAGCACAGAAAGCTCTACCATACGTCTTCCCTGTTCCTTCCCCAGCTGCCCCATTAGGAGTTCCTAGTGTAGATGTCGTACATAGTAGCATGCGTATGAGACACAGATCTCTTTTTTTTTTAAGTTCCGGGGTGCATGTGCAGGATGTGCAGGTTTGTTACATAGGTAAACGTGTTCCGTGGTGCGTTGCTGCACCTACCAAGCCATCACCTAAGTATTAAACCCAGCATGCATTAGCTATTTTCCCTGATATTCTCCCTCCCTCTGCCCCTGCCCTGACAGGCCCCAGTGTGGGTTGTTCCCCTCCCTGTGTCCATGTGTTCTCATTGTTCAGCTCCCACTTATGAGTGAGAACATGTGGCGCTTGGTTTTCTGTTCCTGTGTTAGTTTGCTGAGGATAATGGCTTCCAGCTTCATCCATGTCCCTGCAAAGGACATGATCTCGTTCCTTTTAATGGCTGCATAGTATTCCATAGTGTATATGTACCACATTTTCTTTATCCAGCCTATCGTTGATGGGCATTGGGGTTGATTCCATGTCCTTGTTATTGTGAATAGTGCTGCAGTGAACATACATGTGCGTGTGTCATTATAGAAGAATGATTTATATTCCTTTGGGTATATACCCAGTAATGGGATTGCTGGGTCAAATGGTATTTCTGGTTCTAGGTCCTTTAGAAATCAGCACACTGTCTTCCATAATGGTTGAATTAATTTACGTTCCCACCAACAGTGTGAAAGCTTCCTATCCCTCCACAGCCTTGCCAGCATCTGTCGTTTCTTGACTTTTTAATAATCGCCATTCTGACTGGTGTGAGATGGTATCTCATTGTGGTTTTGATGTGCATTTCTCTAGTGATCAGCAATGTTGAGCTTTTTCTCATGTTTGTGGGCCGTATAAATGTCTCCTTTTGAGAACTGTCTGTGCAGGCCCTTTGCCCACTTTTTAATGGGGTTGTTTGGGTTTTTTTCTTGTAAATTTGTTTCAGTTTCTTACAGACTCTGGATATTAGACTTTTGTCAGACAGATAGGTTGCAGAATTTTCTCCCATTCTGTAGGTTCTCTGTTCACTCTGATGACAGTTTGTTTTGCTGAAACACAGATATCTTATAGCAATGGTCCCCAACTTCTTGGCACCAGGGACTGGTTTCATGGAAGACAATTTTTCCATGGTCCACGGAGGGGATGGTTTCAGCATAATTTAAGCACATTACATTTATTGTGTACTTTAGTTCTGTTATTCCTACATCGTAATAAATAATGAAGTAATTACACAACTCATAATGTAGAATCAGTGGGAGCCCTAAGCTTGTTTTCCTTCAACTAGACGGTCCCATCTCAGGGTGATGAGAGACAGTGACAGAGCAGCAGGCATTAGATTCTCATCAGGAGCATGCCACCTAGATCCCTGGCACGCACAGTTCATACGCGGGTTTGCACGCCTATGAGAATCTAATGCCGCAGCTGATCGGACAGGAGGCGGAGCTCAGACAGTAATGAGAATGACGGGGAGCGGCTGTAGATACAGACGGAGCTTTTCTCACTCCCTGCCCACCTCGTGCTGTGTGGCCTGGTTCCTCACAGGCCACGGACTGGTACTGGTCTGTGGCCCGGGAGTTGGGAACCCCTGTCTTATAGTTTATAGGTCTAGATTCATAGACATCCCTTTTCCACATTCACAGAAGGGACAGTGGCACACACAGAGCTCCGTGCCTCACTGGAGAATGTGTCTTAGAGCCCCTCCTGTCAGCACAGCAGGCCGGCCTCCTCGGCTGGTGTTGAGGAACTGCACGGTGTTCTCTCGTGACTGCCCCTCAATAACTGAAGCCCACCCCGGCCGATGGCTGTATACTTTATGAGTTATTTCCAGATTTGGCTTTGGTCTTTTCCCTCACAGATCATGCTAGAGTGAAGTATGTTCTGGGGGATAGTCTAGGTGCGTGTTTGAGGCTCTCCGTGGGCCAGGGCCTCGGAGGGGAGTTGCTGAACTGAAGGATGGATTTTGTCAGCCTCGATGTTGCCACCAGAAGGGCCGCTCACTTTCGGCCCCAACAGTGGTGCCCGGCCTCTGCCTCTGCTTCTGTGTTCCGAGCTGGAATGAGTCAGCTTTGACTTTTTGCAGTCTGCTAGTGAGCAGTGAATAGTATCTCCTTTGCCTTTGATTTGTACCTAATTAGGAGTCAGTCAAGAATTTTGTATGTTTGCTGCTTATCTGCCTGTCATTTTCTGTGAACTGTTCATATCCTTTGCTATTTTTTCTGTTGAATTTTCTTTCTCTTGTTTCTTTGCATGCACAGTTGGAGGTTTTGAAGTGTCAAAGTAGCACGATCAGATGTGAGTCTCAGGCACAGCGGCAGTAATGCAGGTGTTCTGTGGGTGATGCTGGTGGTGCCACACGCAGGCCTCCGTTTCTGAAGGGCCTCAGGCTTCTCACAAGAGGAATTGTAGCTTCTCCGTGAGGGTCAGAAGGCATTTGATGTTTCCTGTCTTCCTGCATTTTTGTCTCTGAATAGCTGATTTGGCTAGAGAGGCTGTTAAACCTCGATTTCATCTTAGCTGCTCTTTTAGGCTCAGATAATCCTTTTGTGGTGCCACTCATTACAAATTTGCAAAACACATTAGTACTGCTTAAACCGTCCCTCGGGACCTGGTGTCCAGTGGTGACTATTCAGTGTATTTAAAGAAACAAGGCCGTGCCGTCACGGGCTCCTGACTTCACAGCGGCAATTCTCCCCCGAGGTAAGTTGATTAAACCTATTTTGCTTTCAGTAGGAATTTGTTTTTAGTCTTTTTGAGAACTGCTCTTTTCATTCTTTTTAAGTATGAGTCTTGCTAACATAAAGCTGACATGAATGTGAGCTGTTTCCCTTTGTGACACGGTTAAACGGTCCAGTGTTCACATCATTGTATTTTCACCACCTGACATTTGCTGTGTTGTTATTCCTGTTTAATGCCCAGAAGTCCATCTTCATGGTGGGCTGCTTGTGGGCATTTGGTGGGCATTTCTGTGAAAATTTCTATAGATTAGCTCGGGATATGGAGTTCAAGCTTCTCCTTCCACTGGACCTGATGGAAAATCCACTTCTCAGCGATGCCCCGGACCACACAGCGACACTGATTCTCGGTTGTCTCTCAGGCTGGAGAATCGGGAAGGGAGAAGGCTACGCTGATCTGGAATATGCCATGATGGTATCCATAGGTGCCGTCAGCAAGGAGACGCCGGTGGTCACCATCGTCCACGACTGCCAGGTGCTCCTTATGAGTGGGCTGAGCAGAGCCACTGCCACTCTCTTCTGAGGGAGCAGGGGGTGGGGAAAGAGACTCGTCTGCTTCTGAACCATGCTGTGTCATGAGTGGTGTGGATCAGCCAGGGCTGGACTTGCTAGTGGTGCAGTGGCTAAGCCTCAGCACCAGAGTGAATGTGGGGGTGCTTCTCTAGCCAGCCTCACATTCCCACTGGGTGGGGCAGTGTGCACGACTGCAGTGGCATTCCTACCAGCCCCTTTATCCTGCAGTGGCGTTCCCACCAGCCCCTTTATCCCACCTCCGTTCCCCCAGGTCATGGACATCCCTGAAGAGCTCCTTGAGGAGCACGACATCGCCGTTGACTACATCCTCACTCCAACCAGAGTCATCACCACAGGCTGTGAGCGCCCACAGCCAATGGGAATCACCTGGTCCAAGGTGGGTCACGGCCGTGGCCAGCTCTGGCCTGTAGCTTAGCGGCCCCTCTTCTTTTAAGTGTTTTCTGTCTGGCATGGGAGCTGTTGGCAATCCCAGCGTGGCTATACGTTAGAATTACCCAAGGAGCTTTTGAACAATTTGGCTCCTGAATGACAATCTCCAGGCCCAGGCCCAAGAATCTGCTTACAGATCTCTGGCATTCTAAAAAGCAGCTGGGTTTAAAATCCGCCTCTGTGGATGGCAGAAATGGCCACATGGGCTAGGAGGGCGAATGCCTTGAAGCTTTACTTGCCCACTGTTTTTCATTTTTAAGAGTTGTTTTCTGCCATCCCAGGTGCAGCAAACTCTGCCTGGCATTATCTCATTGGTCTTCCCTTTTTAAATCCGGATTTTTTTTTTTTAACTGAAGATCTCGATCTTCAAGCAGATCTAGCCTGAGTAGAAGGCAGTACCAAGCCTTTGTACATTTTATACATATATGGTTTTTATTTCCAGATTAGGTAATGGCACACGTTGCAAATTAGTCTGCAGTAGGAGTTTGACCCTGAGGCAGCCTGTAGGCTATGATGCTGTGTCTGCTGGCAAACAGCCAGAATTACTGAGAAGACATTTGTGCTTCGTGTGGACAAAACTATTGGTCAAATAAGCATATGTGTCCACGTCTCCCATTCTTTAAACCCAAGTCATTCAGTGTTTGAAAGTATCCTTCCTTTGGGCATAGAAAATCAACAGCATCCACCTCTAAGGATGAACACAAAATACCTGCTACTTTCGCCACAGCCCAGCCGGGACTTTCCCTGCAGGCGTCCTGGGCAGGCACTGTTGGGGCCTCTCAGGTGTGCACTCCTCGGTTGGTTGCTGATGAAAGCAGAGGGAATAGCCTGTGTGACCCAGAGTGGATGGGCGGCCCTCCAAGCGCACCAGGAGCACTGGGGAGAAGGCGGTCACTGCTCTGCCAGGAAATGAAAATATCCCTTGGTGTCTTTCTTCAGAGTCTTTCACCTGGGAACTCTGGTCCACAGCTTCCTTGTAAGTGGAAGCCAGTGCACTAGACAGAGCGTGAGGCTGGTGGCTCCTCAGACCCAAGAACAGGGATGGTGGGAAAGTTGCACAAGGGCATTAGCCACAGTGAGGCTGCTGGCAGTCCCTCCAGGCCAGCACGTTAGAGAAGGGGCCCATTGCAGCCATATTAGGGGGAGCCTGGACAGCCTCTCCCGGAAGAGAGCTAGGAACAGCCTGGTTACTTTCTGAAGATTTTAACAAGAAAAGTAGAAAAGTAGCAACAAATGAAGTCATCGGACATGTTAGGTGAATATATCCTCTTACAGAAAAGCAAACCAAGGTTCCTGAAACAGGGTCAGCACTGTGGGGGAGGGAGGGCATTGGGGGCGTCACTGTTTGTCCAGACCCTCTTCCAGGAAAATGGTCACTGTTTATGAGGCCTCAGCAAGAATCTCAAACTTTTAAAAACATATCTCTCATTTTGGGTCCTGTGTTCTCAGTTTCACCACCTGGTAATCCCTTTGCATGGTCAGAGGAAATCAGTCACTTTCTCCATCCCCCAGCGTTTCTGTTTTAGTCTCACTAACCATGCAGCTCAAATGAGTTTTTATCAACATTTGTTGGGAGAAAAAGAAAATCCCTAAATTCCAGGAAAGATTTTGGATGTGGAAGGGGGGACTGTTCAGTGCTAAGTTATGATATCATTTCAAATGGACTTTTTGGCAAATATTTGGTATACCCCTCCATGATATTATAGTAGTAATGATTTATCACTATAGGTTTGTAGGTCTTAGAATCCAAGAATTTACCTCTTGGCCATCTCACTGGGATATCTGCGATGCACTGTCGATCGCTTGTGGAAGGATGTGAAGGAAGCACAAACTGCCTTGCCTTTACTCATTTTCAAAACATAAAGATAGTTCAGCATCTGATTCCCTGGCCTTTGTTCCACCTTTCCAATAGTTGACGTCCTGCCCTGTCTTACAGAGCAGTCTAATACACGCTCCGTTTGAGTGCAGTTACTGTAAACAGCGCATCTCCTTGATTCACCGTCAACATACACGTGGACTCTTCTCAGCCTGTGTCTCATGATTTTGAAGAAAGGAGACCAAGTGGCCAGTGAGCGTATTGCTCAGTTTAGCAGTCAAGAGTTTCCCACTTCGTAGCTCTGTCTGTAACCTCCAGCACACCCTCCGAGCCCCTCGTTTGTCTTTGAAATAGGAGGGTGCGCGGCAGTGCACGTAGAATGCCCAGGACGATGCTTGCGAGCATGGCCACAGTCTTCATCATTGTCACAAATGGGAGGTTGGTTGTTAAAGTTGAGAAATCTTCCTGGACGTCATGCATGTTTCTTCTTTCTCTGTGCTGCTGGTAGAATCCTTAGGATGGTCCTTCTGGGTAGCTCACTGAGCCAAGATGGGGTCCTTCACATGTCTCCCTGTGGCCACGGGTTGTCACGTGGCGCCCTGGTATGCCCTTTACTACCTCTCAGTGGAGGACAAGGAGAGAAAGGCACTGACCCGGCTCTCCAGCCCTTCGGCTGCTCCATACCGCCTGTGACCGTGCAGGTGCTTTGCAGAGACCCCCCACGAGGAGCCATTGTTCCTCCTCCATCTCCTCTTCGACAAAGGAAGCCTGGTAGGGTTGGGAAAGGGGCTGAAAGTGCATTCCGGCGCTCTGCACCCTCATCAGAAACTTTCTGGCAGGAAGAGAGAGGCACAGAGACGTTCCCCAGAAGGCTCTGCTTTTACTCCTCCTTTCTAGAAGGCACATTGTCTGCTCTGTCCTCGTGGGCTCTTCTGTCTCTGGGGGCGATTGCCTCACCCACAGACCCGTGAAACTCAGGGTGACTTGGCCACATCCAAGCCACAAGATGCATAGCCACTGCTGCCCCATCTCCCAGTCACCGCACCCTGAGAACCCAGGACTCCCTGAAACCCCAGCTACACCAAGGATCTCTGCCAGGCTGGAGATGATACCAGAGACCTGGGCCTGAAGCTGGAATGTGGTCCTGAACCTCTGGGCAGTTCGTCCAGCTCCGGTGATCTTCTGATCTTGGAGACAGTCATGCGATGTCACTCCCTGTGACAGCCATGTGTCAGGTGATCTGCAGTGGGCTGAGAGCCATTTGGCTGCCTCAGCTCTGTGCAGTAGCAAACCGAAAATGGCTGAATTCCCGGACCCGTGTCGAGCAGCCCCGGCCAGTGACCAGTGCCTGCCCTTGTGGGGCAGAGTCCCAGCCAGCTTCCAGGACTGAGTGGTGTCCTGTGAGTCACTGGCAACAGAAGAACGGAACTTCCTGTTGAGACCCATGGTCACCTGCTGGACCCAAGTGAGCACCTGGACAGCAGCAGCGGGTGGAGCCTCTCTGGGGAGACCCGGGTCTGCCACCACCCTGGAAGCCCCGTTCTGCCCAAGCCGCACCTGGGCAGTGGAGACGCGCCACACCATTGTAGTGTTTCCCTAGAGCTGGCCTGAGCTGGGGAGCCAGAAAGATACATGTTAGAATACCTCGGAGACGGAGAGGAATGGTAGGGCATGGCTACAGACTCCAGAACCTCACCTGCGCCGAAGGCAAGGCCAGCCTGACTCTAGGAGACTGAGGGCTTAGGAGAAGCCACTCGGGCACCCACAAGCCTATGGTCCCTGTCACCAGACCCACAAGCCAGAGGACCTTTTGGCCTTTGCCAGGTGGAAGGACTGTCAGTCACACACATCTTCTCACCCGTCCTGTGCTCTTCATTGGAACTCCCATCAGCGTATGGCTCCTGATTACCACGGGGGTGGCGAGGATACCATAGACCAAGGTCTGTGCGTCTGACTTTCCCGGGTCAACTCATTTGCTCCTTAATGAAGGAAACTGGATTCTTCCAGAGCCACTCTCGTGCTTATACTGAAGGAAACAATTCTGTAGCTTTCAAAGCATGGCCCGTTCTTCCCCACACAGCCTGCTGGGAGAGTGGTCTTCAGATGGCCACAGTATGCTGCCTGATCTATAGACACTTCAAGAAAAAGGATTTGAGGACAGTCTCCTCTGTGACAGCAGTCCTGGGACAGCAAAGCCCAATTTCAGATCCCACATAAGACGAAATTGTTCTCTGCAAATAATGCAGCTAACTGTGAACCAACCCCTACCCACAACTGGGCCAGTACGTTTAGAGGGCTGAGAGAGGCTTTCATTGAAAAAGAATTACTATATTTGACCTAATAATTTACCTTCTAGGAATCAGTTCTAGAGAAATATGTAGAAATTCAGATAAGGATTTATTGAATTTCTATAGAAGACTTGCAGTGCCTTAAAATGGGGATGGGGGGAGTCCATTTAAGTGCATACAGCTTTTTAAAGAATATTTAGTGGCATGAGAAAATGCATGTGGTATAAAGTAGAAAAGGTACAATATGATATTATACATGTTTGATAATGAATTTCATATTCTGCTCATGTTAAAAGGCAGAGAGAAAAGACAGGGAGGAAATACAACAGAATATTAACAGTATGTATCTCTGGGAGATAGGATTTCAAATGTTTCTACTTTTTCCCCAAATTTCCCACAACAAGCATATCCTAATTTTATAATCAACAATATTTAGGAAAAAAACAGTAAATTTGTTCAACATTTTCCAAGGTAGACATTGTGCCCAGGTGCATTTGAACCCAGTCACACAGCAGTAAGGTAGGTATCTGTTCCCAGTGTACTCAGTTGGTATAAATGAGAATTTAGAAACAAAAATAGTTAAAGAAGCGCCAGTCCTTAAAACTCACGCACACACGTGGGTAGGGTGACACTGGAACAGCCAACACGGAAAGCTCAAGCATGTCTGTGTGAGGGGAACCATGCGGCTGCTCTTCTCCCAGGGCCCAAACTCCAAGTGTGAAAGTGAGACAGGAGCTGCTGGTCCCATGCAGGACTCTGTGCAGAGCAGGCGGAGGGAGGCACGTCACTCCCACGGGCCTTGCAATGACGGCCAGGCAGGAGCCAGGGTGTGCAGATGGAAGCTGGCATCTCACAGCATCAGTTTTGAGGTGATCATGTATACCAGAAAACAGAAATGTTTTTTTACTAAATAGTTCTTAGTGACTTCCACACCCCTCCCAAGCTGAGCCACCCCTTCCCGATGTTGGGGTACAGTCGAACGCGGTGCTGCCTGTGGTCAGGCCCCTGTTGGGAGATCCAGGCCTCGCCCCTGCTGTCCGCCAGCACTCCCAGTAGAAGCGTGATTGTAAAGCGGTGGCCCTATTGAGTCTTTTTCTACCAACTGACATAGTTGATCAAACAACTATGAACAAAAGGGTTTTCCGTGAGCCATGTTGAAGAGATTCTGCCTTTAGAGCGCCAGCAGAGGCTTCGAGGCCTACCTGGCGTTTATGTTTACGGAAGGCAGCACATTCCGTTGGCCTTCCCTGTGCTCTCCTCTGACCATACCTTCCATATGGTTATTTCACTGTGGCCATTTGGAAGTATCTTAAGGCATTTTCATCAGTGAACAATCACATTTAGTCTCGGGCAAGAGAACTCACTATTTATGGAGGTTGAACTTAGTATTAGAAATACTTCTGATGTCTGCTTATCTTGGCCAGCATGGCTCACGCCTATAATCCCAGCACTTTGGGAGACCGTGGCAGGAGGATCACGTGAGCCCAGGAGTTCAAGACCAGCCTGAGAAACATAGCAAGACCCCATCTCTACTGAAAATAGAGGACTTAGCTGGGTGTGGTGGTGAGTGCCTACATGGAGTGCCAGCTGCTTGGGAGGCTAAGGCAGAAGGATTGCTTGGAGTTGGGTATTTAAGGCTGCAGTGAGCTATGAGTTGTACCACTGTACTCCAGCCTGGGTGACATGGTGAGACCCTGTCTCAAAAAGAAAAAAGAAAAGGGGGAGGGATTCAAAGATCATCCAGTTTCCTTATCTCCAGGTCAGGTAATGCAGGAGTCAGAAAGAAAAGCAGTTTATCCAAAATGGTAAAAGCAGCATGTAGCTGCCTTAGGATTAGAGCCCAAGTCTCTGCTTTTTGAGCAATTTCTGACTCTCAATCAGATATCTTAAAAGTCAGATTTCAGATTCATATTTGACTTAGCATGTCTAGGGGACAGGTTTTTAAACTTTATTTTAATATGATAATATAATAATATTTAATATAAATACAAGTTCTATTTTTTTGAGAATAGAATTAGTTATAAAAAGGCAAAAATGTTTTCTCATGTTTGATTAACAAGCAAAATGTTTCACTTCACGTGCCACATTGGCAGAATGTAACAGCTGTTCCCCGTTGCCAGCCGGGAAACAGTAGCACTGCCATGCGCTCGTCCCGACCGTGGCGTCCAGCCACCCTGCTGGTTGGTGCACAGGAGGCTTTCTTGTCAGCTGTGGCAGGGATCGGCCCAGTCCTCCAGCAGCTGGCAGAGTGGCAGAGCCACCCCACAGCCAGGAAGATGTTTCCATTAGAGCTTGAGGAGGAGGGAGCTGATGCGAAGCCTTGTCATCCTTTACCCAAAAACACTGCTCGTGAAAAGAGCGATTTTACTTCAGTGGAACACACTTGCGCATTTCCATTCTAACGGCCCCCCTGCGGATGCCAGTGTGTCGGTGCCCTGGCCGTCCAGTCAGCTCATAATGTGTGGTTAAGATGTTTTCATTATTCTTCAGCCGATTGTATGTTTGCTGGCTCAGAATGGAGGAGCTCCCTGTGATGTGCATGGAAGGATATATTTGTCTTTCCCACCGCGTGTTTCAAAACAGATTTCTGCTGTAAAACCCCAAGTGTGAAGCCTCGCCCGAGAATGCTTGCTTCTGCCATAGGGAACCTTGAGGTGCTACTGGACACAGATGGGAGGGGAAGTAACTCGGGGGGCAGGAAACTGGGCTGGCGCAGCTCCCGATAGACCCCATCAGAAGAGCAGTGTTTACCCGGAGGGTGCAGCCTGCCCCCACACCCCTACCCCTTACTGCACTCCTTACCTCACCCCCACCCCCAGCCCACTTGATGCTCTCACCTCAAGGCTTCTGGTGCTGTCCTCAGAGCCAAGTAACTTTCAGTTCTTCCAGATAAATGCATAGTCACACTTTTTCTCTCATTGTAATTGCAGTTTTAAATTTTATCATCTGTTCTCAGTACTAAATCTGGTCATTTAAAAGATCCTTCAAAATCAAATGATGACCAGTTTATATCTATTTTTAAATACTTCAGAAGAACACAAAAGCCTGAACTTTCTGAGAAGGTGGAGTAGAGGTGTGGAAAGAGGTTGGGTTGGTTGGACTTCAGTCCTTTTTGAGATTCCCTGGGCCCCAGAGCTTGTATGATACTGCTCTATGAGTTACGTCTCCTCGCAGTCAGTCAGTTGAGAAGGATGGCTGAGGGCCCAGTGGAAGGGAAATGCCTTGTAATTAGAAAAGAGCACATCGCGGATATGTTCATGACATAGACGTGAGTTGTTTTCCTTTGTGTCTGAACAATGGGAAATGTTGAAGCAAGTCTTTGCAGAGTCTTTCTATGACAGCCAAGAGTCTGTTTGCCATTCAAGACCAAAATGAGGCCTTGTGCCTGCCACCTGCCAAGGCTTCTGATGTGGCAGTGCCAGGGAGCAGAGTGGCATCCCACCACAGAGGACTCTGACCAAAGCGAAGGTTTCGCCGGGAGGGGAGGTTACTTTCCACCCAGCACTGGGAGACAGAGCCAGGTACTAGTACTAGATGAGAGAGGACTGAGAGCCTCTAGGTTTGCAGGAACGCACTTGGCTGTTCTTAGGTGTTTATCTTTAACTATTACTCTAATTTATTGATGCTTAACTTGGGGCCTGTGCACCTCTTGTAGCTTGGAGGCCCATGAATAGCCTTTATTGACCCTGGGAAATTGTACAGAAAATTGTGGGTGAGTCATTCCTGGGAGGGAACCCCAGCTCCTCACAAAGGTTCCTCTCTCACCCTGCCAAGGATAAGAACCATTGCTCGAAATTACATATTATTCTGAATGTAATGAGAGCATTGATACTAGTTGAACTGTTTCATCTTGTAGAACAATTTATAGTTGTCTAGCTCATGTGCTGCCTCATACTGTGACATACTCACTTCTGTTAGAGGCCTGCAGGTGACCACGGCTTGCCTCTTGGTGACCATGCTCATGTGAAAGCTTGGTGCCCAAAAGAAAAATAAAAAACATCTCTAAAGAATGAGAATTGTCAAAAAGGACTACACAGTGTCTGTTTCTTTTCTGCACAGGGCACGGTGGTCCAGGTGTCACCTGACTTGTCCTGACCCACAGGCAGCCCCCAGTGCAAACTGCCCCACAGGACGGAGCCAACAGGCCTTCACTGTTTAGGCTGCCTCAAGCCAGTTCAAGTCTGTTCCAAGGGGCCCGCTGCAGTAGCTGATTGATTAGAAAAATCTGGATAAAGCCAAAGATGTCCTTTGTCTACAAATCCCATACAATTGAGACTTAAGCTTTTGCGTAGTATTACTGATTTCATAGTTTGGTGACCCGTCACTAGGAAGTGTTTTCAAAGCTGTGTTTCAGACTTGCCTTGTTTTCTGCATTTTTGGCTCTGCATTGAAGGGGATGATCCCTGACAGATGTTCCCTCAGTGGAGAGGAGACCCCTGTGATCCTATTAAAGCCCTCATCCCACCCAAAGGCACAGATAGGGGGCAGATACAGAGGCAGCTCCCCGTTATTCTCGGGCGAGGGGGAAGTCATTAGGGGAGCTGCCTTTGGTAACCCTGTAATCCCATTAGTAGCAACCTTAAGTGCCTCTTCTGGGTAGGAGGCCTGAGCAGAGAGCCCTAGCTTTACTTTCCTGCTTCTGGGCCTGGAGGAAAATGGAGGCCCAACCTTGCAACCTCCACAGCGTGTGGGCAAACGCTCCAGAGAGCCCCCATGAGCGCTGATTTCCCTTAAGCCAGGGGCAAGGGGCAGAGCTACAGACTGGTGACATCGTCTGTGTGAGACAGTGGGTGGGACAGTGGGAGTCCCGTCCCTAGGGCTGAGTTAGACCTCGGCATCCAGCCCACGTGTGTAGCACAGCCGGTAGTCAGAGGTGTGGACGCGTGTGTGGCAGGCGCCCTGTGAGTCTGTCCCTGAGAACAGCTGCAACTGCTTTGCTTTTCAGATCAGCCGGGAGATGATGGAGAAAATCCCAGTATTGAGGAGCCTCCGCGCCCGAGAGCAGCAGGCTGGGAAGGACGTCACCCTCCAGGGTGAGCACCAGCACCTTCCGGAACCAGGCCGCCAGCAGGCAGTGCCCCTGAGTGCTGGCAGAAGGCCCCCGGACACACCCGGGCCAGAAGCCAATTCCATGGAGGCAGCCCGTGGCTCCCCAGCAGGGGAGGGTGCCCCGCTTGCAGCCGACGTTTATGTTGGGAACCTCCCCCGGGACGCCCGTGTGAGTGACCTGAAGAGAGCCCTGCGTGAACTCGGCTCCGTGCCCCTGCGGCTCACCTGGCAGGGCCCACAGCGCAGAGCCTTCCTCCGTTACCCAGACTCAGCCGCAGCCCAGCAGGCCGTCTCCTGCTTGCAGGGCCTGCGCCTGGGCACCGACACCCTGAGGGTGGCGCTGGCCAGGCAGCAGAGGGACAAGTGACCTTGTGGAGAGCCACAGAGCTCACTGCAGACTCACCATCCCCATCCCCTGCTGCTCCGGTTCCCATGGCACTCGAGAGGCCTGTGTGGCAAGACGTGGCAGAGCCACTGCGTGAGCTGCTCGGGTCTCGGTTCTTTCCAGAAGTCACCACTCAGTGAACGCCCAGGGCCTCCTGTGAGTGGGGAAGCGAGCCCACAGTCCATCTCACAGCACACGCAGACTTCAGCCTCCCGTTCGTGCAGGCTCAGGCCTTGAGCCAGTTTGTGTTTCTCTGGAGGGACAGAGCAGAGGGGCCGGGGACTGAGTGAGTGGCGAAGCAGGGGTGGGTGATGTGAAGATGATCTCGGGTTTGCCAGGGGTGGGCTGAACGGGAGAAGATGGACAAAGGATCCGGCTCTCAAGAGGCCCTGGCCGGGACTGCATGCCGGGTACAGAGAGCGCCCTTGGACTTTAGGGTCCTGAGCTGGCAGCATGGCAGAGAGAGCTCCATCCACGTCACAGGAGCCCAGGGAGCTCAGCCCCTGGATAAAAAGTGCTCACTGCAGCTCAGATCAGTCCTCAGGTCACACTTTGGGGAGCCAGCATCCCTTCTTCCCCTCCCCAGCCCACTCCTCCCTCTGCGGACACACACTCCGGGCCCTCAGCCAGCTGGCTGCACGGGGAGCAACTTGGTGTTGTGGGAGAGACCGGCTCTGGGAGAACGGGTTTCATCCCAGCCTACGTCACATTTGCCCAGTGCCTTACGTTTTCTGGTTTTTTCCCTCCAGTTCTGTTTCTAAAAACCAGCTGGAGTTTGGCTGAACTGTCCTTTCTCAACAGAAGCGCTTTTGCAATTGATCCCGGGCAACAAGTCAAAATAAGCTTTTAAGTGGAGATTTTATTTTCTTCAAATGTATATGCTTTGGAAATTTTGATTTTTTAGCCAGAGGGTTTTACCAAGTGTTATTTTAAGCACATTATTATGCCTCAAGAGGGCAGCCCTTGCACGCACTTTAAAGAAAATGTTTTCAGGACACTCAGTCTTCTCTTTGAAAGGGCATTTTCTCACTGGTTTTCCCGTGAAAATCCCGTGGAGACTTTGGAAAGAAAACGCGGCCTTAGATTTGCTCATTAAAGACTGATTTCCTTCCCAAGCCGCCATGAATAAAATGGGGGAGTAGAAACGTCTGGAAGCACCACACCTGGCCCTGGGCCCACTGTGTCCTTGGCCTCCCCGCCACCCGCACGGCTGGTCACATTTGTCACTGGGCATTCAGCTCAGTGTCAGAGGCCGACTCAGCCCCCAGTTCAGAGTAGTCACCTGGTTACACTGAAGTCCTCACCTTCTTTTCTCTCTTTTTTTTTTTTTTTTTTTTTTTGAGACGGAGTCTCGCTCTGTCACCCAGGCTGGGGTGCAGTGGCCGGATCTCAGCTCACTGCAAGCTCCGCCTCCCAGGTTTACGCCATTCTCCGGCCTCAGCCTCCCGAGTAGCTGGGACTACAGGCGCCCGCCACCTCGCCCGGCTAGTTTTTTGTATTTCTTAATAGAGACGGGGTTTCACCGTGTTAGCCAGGATGGTCTCGATCTCCTGACCTCGTGATCCGCCCGTCTCGGCCTCCCAAAGTGCTGGGATTACAGGCTTGAGCCACCGCGCCCGGCCTTTTCTCTCTTTTTTTAAAGAACACTTCTCTTTTTGAAAGATTCTCGTTTGTTTTTTTGTTTACCTTTTTTCTGTGGATTTGCTGCCATTAGAATAGCAACTCGAGGAGAAGAGCAAGTGAGTCATCCCTGCCTTGTCCGCTCCCTGTCTGGCCAGCAGTGGGCACAGCCCTGCCGACAGGAGCAAGGGCTTCTGGGAATAGACCCACTGGAGCCGGGAGAGGGAGAAGCTGGATTCTGACCCCACCACGGAAACTCCTGTGTCCAGCCATGCCTGATGACCACCCCACCCTCAGACGGCGGGATTAAACCAGTCACTACAGGCTCACTCAGGGAAGCCAGACTGCTGGGGTTCCCTGACACTTTAGCCAGAATAATCCAGGTGTATGGATACACAGATAATCTGAAGGAGTTTCTCATTTTTATATTTGTGGAACATCGTGTAAGAAAAACCAAAGAGCAAGTGCGTGAAATAAAATCCCCCACATGTATCAGCCTGCACACCTTTGACTGCCCTGTCCTTTGCAGGGAGAACTGTGGGTACAGTTCCCAAGGACTGTGGTGACAGGTGATAGTGAGGCAGGTACTCAGCTACCCAACTTCTTGTTCCCATGGTTGTTGCGTGCTCATCAGCATCGGGATTGTGTCACTCACATGTGATAAGGGGAGAATGAATGGAAGACAGTCACTTGACAAGTGCTGAGACCATCCCTTTTGTTTTTATATCTATTATTATTTTTTGAGACAGGGTCTCACTCTGTCACCCAGGCTGGAGTGCAGTGGCATGATCACTGCTCACTGCAACCTTGAACCCCCAGGCTCAAACCATTCTCCCGCCTCAGCCTCCAAGTAGCTAGGATGATACAATTGAATAAACAGAAAACAAATCAACGTGGGGCCTTTGAGGGACTCAAAGTGAAGGAACCACATCGTGAAAAAGCTTCACTGCAGGAATCGAGAAAATCTCAGGCACCATCCGCTCCTTAGTCCTGAGACATTTGATACGGTTTTGCACGAAAAAAAGTTGTGTCGATGAAGTGTCCTCGAAACTTTATTAAGAAAAATGTTTTTTAAAAAGGAAAATGTGTCAATTTTTGCTCGTGTCTGCTCTGATCTTACAATATACAGGAAAACATGAGCTCTAAAAATAGAAGTCCTGTGAGGTGGGTGAGGATCCTAAACAGCCTGCGGACAGCGAGCAGGAATGAAAAGCCCAGCAGGAAGGCTGGTGACACTTTTAAGAGTACAAATCCCTATTCACAACATTGACATTTGTATTAGAAGCCGGGCTGTGGCGGGAGAAAGAAAATCTGTGAGTAGTAAGACCAGAGTGCTGGAGACCAGGCGGTGGCAAGCCACAGCCAACCCCGGTGTGGAAGGCAAGACCGCACCGGCATTCAGAAACAACAGGAGGACTTCCCTGGGCTGCGGAGGCAGCGTCTGAGCCAGGGCTTCTCCACACACCTGTGGCAGGAGTCTGGGCCTCGTCTACAGATATGAGCAGGCAACAAGTAGCTGCCATACAGCTGAGGACATCGGTATCTTGAGACACGCACTAGCCGTGGTGGACATGTTCATACAGGAGTCACAAAGGGACTCGGAGGCCATCGTGTCCATTTAAAAGAGAATGGACTGGTAAGAAAAAACTCCTTAGAAATTGAAATCACAGGCCGGGCACGGTGGCTCACACCTGTAATCCCAGCACTTTGGGAGGCCGAGTTGGGCGGATCACTTGAGGTCAGGAGTTCAAGACCAGCCTGGCCAACATGGTGAAACCTCGTCTCTACTAAAAATACAAAAATTAGGCAGGCATGGTGGCATGCACCTGTAATCCCAGCTACTAGGGAGGTTGAGGCTCAATAATTGCTTGAACCCAGGAGGCGGAGGTTGCAGTGAGACAAGATCACACCACTGCACTCCAGCCTAGGCGATAGAGTGAGACTCAGAAAAAGTTGAAATCACAAAATACAGAGACTTAGTTGGGCTGAAGGCACAATGACGCAGACACAGGTAGTGCAGAGATGGAGCCGGGTGATTCTTCCCCACAACACTGCAAAATGGGATAGGGGTGGAAGAAGCGTGAAATGGAAACAGTCGCAGTAAAACTTTGCACCAGCTGAAGAAATATTTGACTTCATAGTGAAAAGGTCTGGAGGGCCAGAGCAAGTCACACGCATTTCCACGACTCACTAGCAAACGTTTAAGGCAATAACAACAAAAACTAGTCAGTTCTTGGGAAAACACCTGATCAGTTCCCGACTCATCTGGGTAAAATGGTCACACTTTCCTGAGAGAGAGGAAAGATCTGAATCAAGAAACACATTGTGTTCCAGAGAGAAGAGTTTGGTACTGGAAAGATGCCAAGGCGTTCTATACTGAACAGCAAAATCTCACCAGGCGTTGCGCATGGAAATCGACAGGGTGGACAGGAAATGCTCAAGAACAGTCCCGGGCCAGGAAAAGGGACTGGCCTCTGGATGCAGTCTGATGATGGAGCTTCCCGCCTCCAAACAGCAGGGTGTCTGTGGATCAGGAGAGCGGAGGACAGGGTCTCCAAGCAGCTGGGAACCTGGGACATGACAGTGATTTCAAATGGGGGAAGGATTTGCCTTGTCAGAGACAGACTGAGCTGCTGGCTGTTGTTTTGAAGGATGGAAAAAGCAACCTGGATTTTTTTTGAAGGAAAATTTGTATTATTTTAATTATTTTTATGTACAGAAAACTCAACAGTGTACACTTAACCCGGTTTAGTGGCAAGTTCTTTAACCTTTGCCTTTTTGAGCTTGGTGATGCGAGCCACAGACTTGGGACCCAGGATGTTGCCTCCCCGGTGACGGTGGATCTCATCATATCTGTCATTGTAATTGGTCCTGATAGCTTCCACCAGCTTAGCCAAAGCGCCTTTGTCTTACGAATTCACCTGCGTGAAGGCGACGGTTGTACAGGTCTTCCTGTGGACTAGACGGCCCAGTGTTGCCTTCCCCTTGATAATGCAGTAAGTGACTCCATTTTACGACACAAGGCAGGCAGGAAGACAACCGGCTCGATGGAATCCACATCGTGTGCTATCTCCACCAGCTGAGCTTTCTTGGTCTCCACCGAGGTGGTGACAGTGTTAACTCCTGCTCAAAGGACAGGTGGTCTCTTAGTGGGGACGTCCCCTTTGCTGGTAGCTTTCTTCTCGGCCCGAGCCAACAGCCTCTCCTTCTTCTCCTACTTTGTCTCAGGTCTGTACTCGTGGGCCAGGCTAAGCAGCTGAGGAGGTCTGGCAGTCCAGGGCCTGGGTGAACTGGTTAATCACAGGAGGCACTTCTGGCCGCTTGTAGAGGGTGGCTTTCTGCCGCTGAAACCTGATAGAGTGGGGCCATTTCACAAAGCGGGTGAGGTCCCTTTTGGACTGGATGTCCTGTCCAGTGCCCAAATTCTTAGGCCTTTTCTCAAGCAGGGGATTCACCACTTTCTCGGCCTCCTGCTTCTTCACGACAGCAGTGGCTGGAGCCACCTTCTTCCCCTCAGCCTTCTTTCCTGTCGGCATCTTAGGCAGCGGGAGGAGACAGCGCAACTTGGATGTCTAAATTGTGGCACACATAAAAATAAATCCCAGGCTAATTCAATATTGTAACAAAATATGAGAGGCAGCCAGGCATGGTGGCTCACGCCTGTAATCCCAGCACTTTGGGAGGCCAAGGCAGGCGGTTCACAGGTCAGGAGTTCGGGACCAGCCTGGCCAACATGGTGAAACCCGTCTCTACTAAAAATACAAAAATTAGCCGGGCATGGTGGCGGGCACCTGTATTCCCAGCTACTCAGAGGCTGAAGCAGGAGAATTGCTTGAACCCAGGGCGGGAGGTTGCAGTGAGCCGAGACCGTGCCCTTGCTTTGGAGACAGTAGGAGAGAAGTCTTTATAATGTTGGGATAGGCAAGGGCTTCATAAGCAAGACCTTGAATTTCAAGAGGAATGTATTCCTTTGTCCCCCTTAGAAAGTCAGGTTTTGACTGGTGCAGAATCCGAATGAACCCACCAAGATGAACTATCTGAAGAAGACTTCTCCAAGCAGCAGAATTAACCAGGCCAGGTTATGTAGTTATTCCATGTCAGCCTTTTTTTTGTTTTTTTTGAGACGGAGTCTCGCTCTGTCACTCAGGCTGGAGTGCAATGGTGCAATCTCTGCTCACTG